GCGCGGCTGCCTCTGGGAGGGTCTGGGGCTCGGGGTTTAGGGTTTAGGGTTTAGGGTTTAGGGTTTAGGGTTTAGGGTTTAGGGTTTGCGCGCAGCTGTTTTGCCTGCGGCTGGTGTTTGGCCGCGCCCGCTCGCGGCTGCTGGGGCGTTTAATGTCTGTGAAGATTCCCTCGTCTTTGAGGCCGTTGCTAACCACCCTTTTTCTGCGGCTGCAGGTCAAACCCTAAACCCTAAACCCCAAACCCTAAACCCTAAACCCTAAACCCTAAACCCTAGGCAGTGCGCGGGGGGCGCGGGCGGGGCCAGGCGGGTCTTGGCGCGAAGTGCCAAACCCTAAACTAAGGCCAGGCGCAGGGCGCGTGTTTGGGCCGCGCCAAACCCTAAGCCCTAAACCCTGAACCCGAAACCCTAAATTAGGGTTTGTGTGTGCTGCAGCCAAGTGCAGCAGCAGACAGCCGCTATCCCCTCGAAGCTTACGAGTCCTTTGGGCAGCTCTTTTGCCGCACTTTGAGAGACAGGGCTCGCGAGGTGATGGACGCGAGGTGATGGACCTTTCCCCGCTGGCGATGGTGCGCTAGGGTTTAGGGTTTAGGGTTTAGGGTTTAGGGTTTAGGGTTTAGGGTTTGGCGGGTTGCTGCGAGCTGCGGCGCGGCGTGGCCGCCCGTCGCCTCCCGGAGGCGGCGGCGGGCGGCGTGGCCCCAAATCGGGCAGGTGCAGCGCTCAGGCTTAGGGTTTAGGGTTTAGGGTTTAGGGTTTAGGGTTTAGGGTTTAGGGTTTAGGGTTTGCAGGTGAGCCCCTGCGACTGCACCGTCTCCGTCTTGGGGGAGGTTTGCGGCGACAGAGTCCCTCAAGTGAAAGGCGCCACTTACAACCTCAAGGCTTTTCTTGGCACGGACCCCAAGGCCCGCAGCAGCAACAAGGCAAGCTGCTGCTGCTGCTGCTGCTGCTGCTGCTGCTGCTGCTGCTGCTGCTGCTGCTGCTGCTGCTGCTGCTGCTGCTGCTGCTGCTGCTGCTGCTGCTGCTGCTGCTGCTGCTGCTGCTGCTGCTGCTGCTGCTGCTGATGCTGCTGATGCTGATGCTGCTAGGGTTGAGGGGCTGGGGTGGTTAGTAGGTCTTGCTGCTGTGGGGGTGCGCGGCTGCCACGAGCAGCAGCAGCAGCTGCTGCTGCTTTTGCTGCTGCTGCTGCCGCTGCTGCTGCTGCGCGTCATTGCGAGCTCGTGTTTCTTTGTCTGTATGGGTTAGTTGCTGCTGGCTAGCTGCTGCTGCTGCTGCTGCTGCTGCTGCTGCTGCTGGGTTCATCCCCGCTACCGGATCACGCTCTCTCGCGCCTCTGCTGCCTTCCCTCCGCTGCCGCTGCTGCTGCCCCCGCCGCCGCTGCTGCTGCTGCTGCTGCTGCTGCTGCTGCTGCTGCTGCTGCTGCAGCTAATGTACTGCGTGCTGCACCTGGCCCCACACCACTACCACCACTTCCACGCCCCCTGCGACTTCACCCAAACTGTGCGGAGGCACATGCATGGAGAGTGTTTGCCGGTCTTCAGGTCTTTCCTTTCCAAGTTCAACGTGAGGGTTTAGGGTTTAGGGTTTAGGGTTTAGGGTTTAGGGTTTGGGGTTTGGGGCTTGGCGCCGCGGCGGCGCTGCAGCGCGCGCGAGCGGCGGGCGGGGCGGCCGCAGCGAGGGTTTAGGGTTTAGGGTTTAGGGTTTGCAGGGCGAGGGTCGGGCGCGAGGGCCTAGGGTTTAGGGTTTAGGGTTTAGGGTTTAGGGTTTAGGGTTTTGCGCAGGACATATTTAGCGTTCAAGAAAGAGTTGTCCTCAGCGGCTGTTGGAAAGGAGGGGCTCTTCACATTGCTGCTGTTGCTGCTTGCAATGTGGGAGATATTCGCCTTGATAGAGAACCTGTAAACCCTAAACCCTAAACCCTAAACCCTAAACCCTAAACCCTAACCCTAACCCAAACCCTAGCCCTAGTGCCTTCATAGTGCCTTCACATTGCTGCTGTTGCTGCTTGCAATGTGGGAGATATTCGCCTCGATAGAGAACCTGTAAACCCTAAACCCTAAACCCTAAACCCTAAACCCTAACACAGTGTTTAACTCTAACCCCAGCAAAAATGCAAACCCTCAGCCCTAAACCCCTCTCAGGTCCTTACTCGGGGTTAGTGGCTTGTGCGGAGCCAGTGCGATCTGGGGTTTAGGGTTTAGGGTTTAGGGTTTAGGGTTTAGGGTTTAGGGTTTGTTTTTAGGACTTGAGGACGAACCAAGACCGCGTGGTGCTGAGGCACTTGGGAGGAGACGTGGACATCCGCACATACAGAGGCAAACCCTAAACCCTAAACCCTAAACCCTTGCAGCTGGCCACCCCGCAGCCCCAAACCCTAAACCCTAAACCCTTGCAGGCAGAGCCCTCGTCAGCGCACAGCCCAGAGCCGAAGGCCTCCCAGTGGGGGCCGAGCCCCAGCCCCAAACCCCAGCCCCCAAACCCTAAACCCTAAACCCTAAACCCTAAACCCTAATTTGTTTGCAGACAAACCCTTGCACTTCGACGTGGGGTCCCACGTAGGAGAGTTTCGCCTCGGCAGCACAATTGTCTTGGTGTTTGAGGCGCCCAAGGACTTCGAGTTCTCCGTTGTAAACCCTAAACCCTAAACCCTAAACCCTAAACCCTAACTTCACGCCCCAGCGCTAAACCCTAAACCCTCGCTGTCCCTGAGCCCCGAGCTCCGGCTCTAAACCCTAATTCCCAACTCAGTCGCGCAACCCTAAACCCTAATTGGAAACCCTAGCCCTAAACCCTAAACCCTCGCAACCCTAGCTCCTGCCCCGCCGAGGAGCCTTCAGCCAGCTCCAGGGTTTAGGGTTTAGGGTTTAGGGTTTAGGGTTTGCTGCAGAAAGCTGGAGACCGAATCAAGGCGGGCTACAGACTGGGGGGTGTGGGGCCCCCCTTAGTAGCTGCTGACGAGAAGAGCCGGAAGTTCATTCATTACTAGCTAGCTAGCTAGCTAGCTAGCTGACTAGCTAGCTAGCTGACTAGCTAGCTAGCTAGCTAGCTGACTCGCTAGCTAGCTAGCTAGCTGACTCGCCGGCTAGCTGGCTAGCTGACTCGCTAGCTAGCTAGCTAGCTGACTCGCTAGCTAGCTAGCTAGCTGACTCGCTAGCAAGCTAGCTAGCTGACTCGCTAGCAAGCTAGCTAGCTGACTAGCTAGCTAGCTAGCTGGCTGGCTGGCTGTCTCCTGGCTAGCCAGTTGGCTAACTAGCTGTCAAGCTAGTGAATTTTGTAGCTAGCCAGCTAGCTACCTAGCGGGGCTAGCTAGCCACTTCTTCTGCTGGCTAGCTAGGTGGCCGGCGAGTTTCATCGCTAGCTAGCTAGCTAGCTAGCTGGCCAGCCACCCCTCTCCCAAGCTAGCTAGCTAGCTAGCTAGCTAGCTGGCTAGCTAGCTGTA